CAAATGTACTCACTCTGCTGTGTTGAGTTCTCACTGCTGGAGATCTCAGTATAAGAAACCCAAATGTGACCCAGCAAACCAGCCTCCACCTATAACTATCGCTCTTCAGGTGGGGCGACTACTTAAACCCCGGATTCGATGGATGTTAGTGGAATGATTTATATCCAGGAACTTGTAGTTTTTAGAGGTGACCCATCGGGGAGGTGTGTAGAGTGAGGGAGAGGATGTGGAAGAGGATTCAGGGGGAGAGGGTGGGGTATGGAAGGAACATGATGAAGCCAAGGACGGGGATGACATACACCACGAAGCACACAGAATTCCATAGCGCCGGCTCGGTTACCATACCTCGGAGCAATGAACACCCGGCCCTCAGACTCAAACGTGTTGGGCATCAAAGACTCAAAATCTGTAACAGAGAAGAAGAATCATCCAGCGAGTGAGCCAGCACAGAGCCCCGAGTACATCCACAGAGGGGGGAGCAGACCCCTGTGTGGGGGTAACAGAGGAGCCGGCAGCTCCCGGGTGGGTGGCCACGTGCCAGTCTAAAGGGTCTGCAGAGGGAGATGTGTGCCTGGGATGTGGCCCCCGGGGTTGTACAGGTGTGTGCGGGAGAGACGGGCCCCCGGAGAGTGTGACCTATCCAGCTTCTACAGTGCCGCGTGCAGGCGTTCTACTCTGCGGTGTCCCTGAAACCCGACTTCAATCAGCATTACACACGGGATCTATGAACTGTCATGCTGGCTTGTGTCATCCAGTTTTGAGATTTACACCACACCGCCACAGCACAGCACAGCCCTGTCTGGCAGGGCAGGAGACCTGATTTTTGACCTCTGCTGTGGTCCAGTAGCAGTTACAGGTCTTGTCCCTCCCCCAGCCTGTGGTTGGATAGGAGTACTAGAAGACTGATGAGCTAATCTAGGTCACTCCGCTCTCTCCCTTTCAGCATGCTCTTTGTCAGCACATGAGCACTGCAGCACCTCTGGCTCCTTGTGCTGCTTCTCCTTTTAAAAGCCTGAGCTCTGCTGTACAGGGACAGCAAGAGGGTGGTACCAAGTCAGATCTGGGTGCCTGCACTGAAATGTGCAGCACCTTGTCCTGAGCTGACCGGCATTTTACCGTTCAAGCCGATTAAAATGAAATCCGTAACGCAGTACCTGAATGTGACCTGGTATCGGCCTCTTGCAGTTCCGGTGAGGCAGAGCTCAGACTGAGAGACGCAGAAGCAGCACAAGAAAGCCAGTCAGTTCATGTGCTGATAAAAGGCACGACAGAAGGAGAGAGCAGAGTGACAGAAAGATGCGCACATCATTGTGCTGCATCTCCTATCACTGTGCAGTTAAGAGGCTGGGGGCGGGTCCAGGATGACCTGGGCTCTGGGAAGTGAGCTGAATGATGCTGAACATCAGACTGAGGACATCTAGTGGTGGAAACAAAACTGCGGGGGGGGGGGGGGCTCTTTAAAAAAA